GCTGGGGGCCCTGTGGCCACATCTGTCCCCATCGGCTGGCAGCGCTGTGTTCGAGAGGGTGCTGTGCGCTATATCAGGTATGGCTCCTCAGAGTTCCAGAGCTCTGTCCCCAGGCCCTTTAGTGCCTGTGTTTTCTCTCCCACCTCTCCTCTTAGCGCCCAGATCTCTGGTACCCTGTTGCTCTCCTCTGTTCTTCCTTCCTCGGCTTTTCTGCTCTCTGTATGTCTGGCCCTTTAACTATGTTTTCCCTCTTTCTCTTTCCACATTCTTTATCCTGTGTCCTTCTTAGGAAGGTCTTTGAATAAGGAACTGTCCTTTAGGCATGGTTTTCTGATTCAGTATCAACTAACTCCGTCTTTTCTGACCCTGTGCTCTCCCAGCCCAAGTGGCACAGAGCTGTCTTCCTTGGAGCAAACCCGGAGCTACCTCCTCAGCGATGGGACCTGCAAGTGCGGTCTGGAGTGTCCACTCAATGTCCCCAAGGTCAGAGTGGTGAGGGGTGTCAGAGAATACAGGGATAAGCCAAGAGACTTAATACAAGTCACCGACCGTGGTAGCTCTTCTCCCAGTTTCCACTCTCTCAGGGGCCCTGCCCGTGACTCCCACCTTACAGGTTTTCAACTTTGACCCTTTGGCCCCGGTGACCCCGGGTGGGGCCGGGGTGGGGCCCGCATCAGAGGAGGACATGACCAAGCTGTGCAACCACCGACGGAAAGCCGTTGCCATGGCAACTCTGTACCGCAGCATGGAGACCACCTGCTCACACTCTTCTCCTGGTGAGGCTTCTTCACTTTATGGATAACTGAGGAAGACTTAAGGGCCTGGAAGGGGGATGGTGGGAGGAGCTCTATGAGAGGGAGCAAGGAGAAGGATGGAGTGGGGAGTTGCTTGAGAGGAAGGCACAGGGAATTTGGGAGTTTATGGGATATGAGATGGAGAAGACAAAAGAAAGTTGTTGGAAGGGAAGCCACAGGCTGACCCTTCATTTCTCATTTATTGCAGGAGAGGGAGCGAGCCCCCAGATGTTCCACACTGTGTCCCCAGGGCCCCCCTCTGCCCTCCCTCCCTGTCGAGTCCCTCCTCCAACTCCACTTAATGGGGGTCCTGGCTCCCTTCCCCCAGAACCACCCTCAGTTCCACAGGCCTTCCCCCCTCTAGCAGGCCCTGGGGGGCTTTTCCCACCACCAAGGCTTCCTGACCCAGTCCCCTCTGGAGGCAGCAGCAGCCCCTGTTTCCTCCCGAGGGGCAATGCTCCCTCTCCAGCCCCACCTCCTCAACCTGCTATCAGCCTCAATGCTCCCTCCTACAACTGGGGAGCCGCCCTCCGCTCCAGCCTGGTGCCCCCTGACTTGGGCTCTTCTCCAGCCCCCCATGCCTCCTCCTCACCACCTTCGGACCCTTCTCTCTTCCACTGTAGTGATGCCTTAACGCCCCCTCCTCTGCCCCCAAGCAATAATCTCCCTGGTCCCCCTGGCCCCCCTGGTCCTGCCACTCAGCCACCAGTGTCTTCAGCCACTATGCACCTGCCCCTGGTCTTGGGACCCCTAGGAGGGGCCCCCATGGTGGAGGGGCCCGGGGCACCTCCTTTCCTTGCTAGCAGCCTACTCTCTGCAGCGGCCAAGGCACAGCATCCCCCGCTCCCCCTTCCCAGCACTTTACAGGGCCGAAGGCCCCGTGCCCAGACACCCTCTGTTTCCCATTCCTCATCACCCCGTCCTTCTCAGCGTCGTCCCCGCAGACCCCCAACTGTACTGCGATTGCTAGAAGGGGGAGGCCCTCAAGCCCCTAGAAGGAGCCGTCCTCGGGCCCCTGCTCCTGTCCCCCAACCCTTTCCTCTCCCTGAGCCATCCCAACCGATTCTCCCTTCTGTGCTGTCCCTGCTGGGACTCCCCACCCCTGGCCCTTCCCACTCTGATGGAAGCTTTAACCTTTTGGGGTCAGATGCACACCTTCCTCCTCCCCCAACCCTCTCCTCAGGGAGCCCTCCCCAGCCCAGGCACCCTATCCCGCCCTCCCTGCCTGGGACCACCAGTGGCAGCCTCAGCAGTGTGCCAGGTACGTGAGTGTGGTAGAGCTCTTCCTCCTCTCCCGGTGGAAAAAGGCAGCCAAGGCACTTAGGGGAGTTTAGAGAGCTCTTTGGTGGCTTTCTGGGTTGGAGGCAGGAAGGTTGGGTTCTTTGGATGCTGGGAGAAAGGTCCTCCTTTGAGCTGAATTTCTCTTTTCCTTTGCAGGTGCCCCTGCCCCACCAGCTGCCTCCAAAGCCCCCCTGGTCCCCAGCCCTGTGCTTCAAAGCCCATCTGAAGGGCTTGGGATGGGGGCGGGCCCAGCCTGCCCTCTGCCTCCCCTGGCTGGTGGGGAGGCTCTCCCTTTCCCTAGTCCTGAGCAGGGCCTGGCGCTGAGTGGAGCCGGCTTTCCCGGGATGCTAGGGGCCTTGCCTCTCCCTCTGAGTTTGGGGCAGCCTCCACCTTCTCCATTGCTCAGCCACAGTTTATTTGGTGTGCTGGCTGGGGGAGGGGGACAACCTCCCCCTGAGCCTCTGCTACCCCCACCAGGGGGACCTGGCCCTCCCCTAGCCCCAGGCGAGCCTGAAGGGCCTTCGCTTTTGGTGGCTTCACTGCTTCCACCAGCCCCTTCAGACCTTCTTCCACCCCCTTCTGCACCTCCTAGCAACCTCCTTGCCTCTTTCCTGCCCCTGTTGGCCCTGGGCCCCGCAGCTGGGGATGGGGAGGGATCTGCAGAGGGAGCTGGGGGTCCAAGTGGGGAGACATTTTCAGGTTTGGGAGACCTGCCCCCGCTACTGTTCCCCCCACTTTCAGCCCCCCCCCACCCTCATAGCTTTAAATTCTGCGCTGCTGGCTGCCAGCCTGGATCCCCCCTCGGGGACACCCCCCCAGGTGAGGATAGGGGGTGAGTGGGTGGGACAAAACAAGAGGTAGAATCAGGGATGGGAGCTGGGAATCAAAGGCTTTCACTTTCATGCCTGAGCTCTTCCTCAGGGCCTTTGGGGAGGGCTTAGTTCTTGGCTGGGGGTAGGATGGCTGCAGGAACTGGGTCTGTATTTAATAAGCGTGGCCTACTTCACGTGAGGCTTCAGTAAGATCGTATACGTGAAAGTACTTCACACACATAGTGTCATAACTGTTCTTTGTTCTTAGCCCTGTGTCCTGAGTGCCCCCCAACCTGGACCACCTACCTCCAGTGTCACCACGGCAACTACTGACCCGGGGGCCTCCTCTCTGGGCAAGGCCCCCTCCAACTCAGGGAGACCCCCCCAACTCCTTAGCCCTCTGCTGAGTGCCAGCCTGCTGGGTGAGTCTGAGGGAAAACTGGTGTGAAAGAGAAAAAAAGGAAGTAGAGGAGAAGCTGGATGACTTGGGGAGGACTTTTTGACCCTGGGGTTAAACCTAAGAGGTAAACAGGGTCTGTTCAGCCTAACCGGGTTGCGGAGGGGAGACTCCTGACCTTCCAGCTTCTCCACAGGTGATCTGTCTTCGCTGACCAGCAGCCCTGGAGCCCTCCCCAGCCTGTTGCAGCCTCCTGGCCCTCTTCTCTCTGGCCAGTTGGGGCTGCAGCTCCTCCCTGGGGGGGGAGCTCCTCCACCCCTCTCAGAGGCTTCTAGTCCCCTAGCCTGCCTGCTACAGAGTCTCCAGGTGAGGGTATGTGTTGGGGGTGGGGGGGTGGGGTGTCGGGGACAGAATTTTTTCCCAAATTGGAAGTGGATGTTTTGAGTTACAGTAGCCAAGGAACCATATTTGGGACTAAGATTTTATTTTTTGCCTGCAGATTCCTCCAGAGCAGCCAGAAGCCCCTTGTCTGCCCCCTCAGAGCCCCACCTCAGCCCTGGAACCGGAGCCTGCCCGGCCTCCCCTCAGTGCCTTAGCCCCACCCCACGGTTCTCCTGACCCCCCAGTCCCTGAGCTGCTCACTGGGAGGGGGTCAGGGAAACGGGGCCGGAGGGGAGGAGGGGGACTTAGGGGCATTAATGGTGAGGCCAGGCCAGGCCGGGGACGAAAGCCCGGTAGCCGGCGGGAGCCTGGCCGACTGGCCCTCAAATGGGGGGCACGTGGTGGCTTCAATGGACAAATGGAACGGTCCCCAAGAAGGACCCACCACTGGCAGCATAATGGGGAGCTGGCTGAAGGGGGTGTTGAGCCCAAGGATCCATCCCCTCCTGGACCCCATTCTGAGGACCTTAAGGTGAGTGTGGGGTGATGGAGGTTTGGGCTGAAGGGCTCTGAGGAAAGGCTGGGAACACGGTTCCTTTTCCTAATTTTTCCTACACATACAGTCTGTGTTTTCCCAGGTGCCCCCAGGGGTAGTCAGAAAGTCTCGTCGTGGCCGGAGGAGAAAATACAAGTGAGTGTTGGGCCTACCCCAATCCTGGCCTTTTGCTGTTTGATGGTTTATAGAAATGTCTAGAGTGGCTTGACTTTCAAAAAGGCACAAACTTAAATATGGATGGGGATATTATGCCTTTATCATCCGAAAGTAGAAGATTTCCCACCCAAATTCTGAGCTTCATGTGGTGCTTGGGAAGCATTCCTGACCACCCGTGCCCTTACTGCAGCCCTACCCGGAACAGCAGTAGCTCCCGCCAGGACGTTACCTTGGACCCCAGCCCTACAACCCGCGTAAGTGTGTGTGAGGGTGGGGGGGGGGGCGTTGTAAGGGATGAGGCAGGAGAAGAGGAGTAGAGGGAGTGGGGAGAAAATAAAAGACTTCCTGATACCTAGCTGTTTGATCACTTCTTTCAACTTCCCCTCTTGTATAGGCGGCTGTCCCTCTGCCTCCCCGGGCCCGCCCTGGCCGTCCTGCCAAAAACAAGAGGAGGAAACTGGCCCCTTAGCAGCCATACCTGGAGCTGGATCTGACCCTGATTGGGGAGAGCTGAGTGCTGAGCCTTGGGAGCCCCTGCCAGCCACCTGCACCTGTGGACAGTGGGTGGGGGCACTACTCCCCACTCAGAGCACAAATGCGAGCCCTTCCCCTACAATCCCATCCTGAGCCATTGCAGGGGGTAGGGAAGCTCACCCCCTCCCCCCCAAAGCCATGTCACTGAAAAGGCCTGGGGGGGTGGTATATGGCCCTCTCCCCACCAGGCTAAGGGGAACACCCCCTTCCCCAGGTCTTTTATTTGTTTAAGTTATTTTTGCACAAATGACTCTTTTATATTTAATTCGACTTCATTGCCTCCCTTCTTGAAGCCAGCAGGCTCAGTTTACAAACCTGTGAGCTACTGTTGGCTGCTGCCCTCCTTCCCAGTGAAAGGTACAAAGCAATAAGCATCATGCATTCCCCCCTCATCCCTCCAACACCCCTCTGCCTCTGGCTCAGGTTGCTCAAAGCACAGATCCCCCCTCTTACCCCTGTCCCCAGGTTTGAAACACATAGCCTCATTTCAAGGTGTAGCCAGCTTCCCTCTACTTTCCTCTGGGATCTAAAAGGGGGTAAGGGGGCACAGAGAGCCCACTGGGCCTCTCCTCCCACACACACTACACTGCCCCTTCTCCCCCATCGGAACGCTCAGAGACGTTGTGATGATGCGACCGAGGATTATGCAACGTGGTCCAACCGGAGCGGCCAGCACAACCCGCTGTCCAGGGGCTGCCTCCTGCCTTTTCTTTTGTAAAGACAAGACCCTTGGGAGTTTTAATTCTGTTTTGTACTTGCCCTGTGGGGCCTCCACTGCTTTTCTATGGGAGACACTCTTAATTTAACAGATGAGAATATTTTGAAACTCTGGCTCTGACTCTGTACTCATTTTTTCCTTAGTTCTTTAGTAAGAGCAGGTTACAGTTTAAATCCTCTCGTAGCAGAGAGGGGCTGAGGCTGCCTATTAGGCTGTGAAGGTCCGTCTCAGTGCTGCCTCTTCCCCAGGAAACACAGCAGGGGCCACACAGAGTACAACAGCATTTAATAATCAGAAACAGTTGTACAGAACTGCAACCAGCCACGGGAGCTGTGCTGGAGGACAGGACCCAATCCTGCCCCGCCCCAAGCAAAGCAGTACTGGACAGGAGCTGGCATGTGGCAAGGCCCACGTCCCCGGGGCCTGAGGGGAGACCACTATCTAATGTCCCCCAGCTACCACTCTGTATTCCTCGGAGGAGGGGTGTAAACCCCACATGCAAGAAGACCCCTTTGCCCCAGTGTCAAATGGTATGGGGATGCAAGAGTTATAATTAAGGGGAAACCCTATGTAAGCTGTTAACAGAGTTCAAGGGGGTAAGGATTACCCCCATTCTCCATCTCCTAAAGGTGCTCACTTTCCCAGCTTCTTCATCCGTTCGTCAATGTTGGCAAAATTCCCCTCAACCGTGGACAGGTTCTCACTCATGGTTTTCTGCACCTAGAAAGTCACAGAGATGTTTTACTCTATCAGGCCCAGGTGCCTGCTTGGGTGAGCACTTGAAGAAATGCTCTTGGAGAAGACAAGAAATGGAAGCATAGCTTCTGGGCCCCAGAGTGGGCATGTGATAGTAGCTGTTTTGGTCTGTTTTATATAATGAGGAACAGGTATGATTTTACTGGAATGAGAGTTTTACTGGCTCAAAACTTTAGAAAACAGCTCTAGAGGCAGAACATATTATACTTTATTTCTTCATTTATCTTGATGGTCCTGTGGTGTTGGGTCTCTCCGCTGTAATTCTGCCCTCAGCACTGAAAACAGTGCCTCCAAGAGAAACTAGGACCATGTGCTGGGCACTGCTAAGAATGAAGGTGAAGTTCACTGCCCAGTGTCAGAGAAGAGGAAGCGGCAAAATGAGGTTGGAGCCTGCTGTTCATTTCAAAGTCCAGACTCCTCCCAGTGTGCTGTGCTCTGGATACAAGCACATCTGGCTGAGGGGAAAGCTAAGCTGAGACTGTAGAGGGACTGGGTAGGTGCTGTAGGAAAAACAGGTTCACTGGAACTCTAACAATTCACTCACAGTATTTCACCTAATCCATACAACCCTGAGGTAGGTACGTTTTCCAGATTGTAAGATGGAGGTTCACAGGTTAAGTAAGTTGTCAAAGGTCCACAACCACTGACAAACAGTAGAGACTCAAACCAAGCCCCTGCCACATCATGTTACGACCTGGGCCAAGGCAGAACCTAGGCTGCTAGAGAACAGAAGCAGCAGACCAATAAAGGGGCACACACCTGGGTCAGGAGGGTGGTGTTGTCCTTGAGGGAGCTAGCAATCATCTGCTGTGTGGTATCCAAGTGGGTCAGGAGCTGACCGAACTGCATGGCTACAAAAGAAGGGAAGGTATGGATGACGTCAGAATCCATGACAAGAGGGGAGGAAACAAAAGCTGCCCACTGTCCAATTCCTCTCCCCTCCCCCCGGCAGCAGGCCTCCCACCTTGCTCATGCAGCTGCTTGATGGTGACAAGTCTCTGCACCAGCTCCGGAAGGGTGGAGGCGATGGGGCTCCAGCGCTGTACGGTGTCGTAGAGCTGGTGCACCTGGTGGGGACAGGACAGGGCCCGGAGGGGATGGCCAAGTGAGGTACACAACGACCACCTGGCGAGGGTGGGGTGGGTGAGGGCAGGCCCCTCACTGTCTCAGCTGGTAAGAGCTTATGAAGACAGCACCTCTCAAGCTCAGGTAAGACCACCAGAAGGACTCAGAGAACACGAGGGAACAGGAAAGGGTATGGAGGTGGGGGGAAGGGCTCTTCCTGACCTTGCTTTGTGTATCTGCATCTTCTACAGAAGCTTTATGCTTGGCAATCTCATTCACCTTTCCCAGGACACTCTGAAAACACAGACTTCAAGGTTGATAGGGCACCCAGGGCTTCTGAAGTCCCAAGCTACCTGTAATCCAGTTTGCCCTCCATTTAATACCTGTAGCCGAGCCTCCACTTGGTCCAAAACTGCAAGGTCCAGGGCATTCACCTTTGCTTGCAACAGTTCTACAGTCTCCTGGGGGTGGAGGTTGGGACAAAATTCATGGAGGGGAAAGGATCAGACTAGGAAGATGCCACCACGTATTCCACTGGAGGTGATTAATATACAGCTATGGACCCACAAACCCAACCTCACTATCCCCTCTGTAATCCAACACTCTGGTTCCTTGTATACTCACCATGAGACAGGCTCCCTGCACACCTGCTGAAAGGGGATTCTGGTGGGAAAGAGGAGGAAAGAAATCAGTGGTTCTTGTGTCTCCTCACAATTACTACTGTCTCCATACTACCGTCTCCCATCCTTCCCGGGTCTAGCCGGCAACCCACTGGCTAATCTGATAAATGAAGGCCTTCCCACTCTCCCCGGGGTTCTGTGGAATGCTCTGAGTGTCAGGGAAGAGGGCGCAGGATGCAAGGTCAGACTCAGTAGAGGAGAGCACCTGACCTGAGCATCCTGATCACAGCGTACAGTTGCTTCCAGCTCTGTCAGGCGCTTCTCAAGTTCTGCAACCTAGGACGAGGAAGGGAGTGAGACTCGCCACCCGCCTGCCTGCCGCTGCAGCAGGCACTAACATCCCACTCTTCTCCGCTTGTCCGCTTGCCATGCCCCTCCCTCCTCCTCTCCACTCTGCCTAGGGACCACTTTCTCTGGAACACAACCTGATCACATTCTTAAAATCTTAACTGAAAGTAGATGGGTGAGGGAAACATGGAGAACGAAACATCAAGAGGAATCGGAAGCATTCCCAGCACCCTGATATCTGATCCCCTGGAGGGAGGTAGGAAAGTCTTCAGGGCCATGCTACCCCAGCCCCCCAACCAACCACATACATACTTACTTTGGCAGCTTGAGAGAACTTGTCCTGTTCAGGCCGAGAATGTAGTTCGTAAGTGACAAGGCTACTATCTACAAGAGTCCCACTGGTGGTCTTCCCCCCTGAACCGGTTCCTTTGCTGTTTTTGGTTGCCTCCAGCTGCAGCAGCAGGCGCCTGGGGCAGGAGACCAAGTAATAAGACCACAACTTGAAGGATGTGGGCCAGCCCCACCCTCTCTCATTTCTGCCTTGCGCTCAGCATTAAGGAACAGCTAGGGTACCTCTCCCCTTAGTATCCTGGCCAATACCTGACTGAGTCTCCCTATGCCCCAGGCAGCAGTGATTTCCTAACAAAGCAGGACACCCACTTAGCCAGAGCTCCATCAGGGTCAGTAAGGTTGATGGCTGCATCTGGTCCCAGCAGCTTCTCCAGGTGGGAAGCAACCAGCTGCTGCTTCAGGGCGGCCAGCTGTTTAGCCAACACCACGGGGGTCAGCTTCTCTTCAGTGGAGGACTCCTTCACCGTTGCCTGGTATGAGAAGAAGCAGACAACAAGGGGTGGCCGGGGGAATCAAAACCAGAAAAAGGGGGTGCCTAGGTGGCTCGGTCGGTTAAGTGTCTGCCTTTGGCTCAGGTCATGATCCCAGAGTCCTGGGATTGACCTCCGAGTCTGGCTCCCTGCTCAGTGGGGAGTCTGCTTCTCCTGTCTCCCCTTCCTCTGCTCATGCGTGCGCGCGCTCTCTCTCTCTCTCTCGTGTGCTTTCTCTCTCAAATAAATACAATCTTAAAAAAAACAACAACCGAAAAAAGGATCAAGGCCCTTAAGAATGGCTGTAGCTGGAAGTTACTGGATGGTTCTTACCCACCTATGGTACTGAATATAGATCTATTTAAACCCCTAAACTTAGGAACCCCAGCTTCCTTACCAAGGAGCCTTGGGAACCTTTTTCCTCCTGCTGTGAGGTCCTCCTCTGCTATGTAAGTCAGGGCACAAAGAGAAGGGAGTTTACAAGTACCTTGATTTTCTCAACTTCAGTTGTCAGCTCTTGGACCTCGTGCAATAGTCGCTGGTACTTTTGCTGCGGTGTCTCCTTCACTCCCAGGCCCTCTCCAAGCTAGATAGCAAGCACACACAGTGAAGTTAAATCCCTCGGTACAGGGAGCCTCCTCAAGAATTTATCCAAACCCCGAGCTTAGGTTGTAAGGGTATCCCATCCAACTCAGAATGCACAACACCCTGGTACAGAAAAACTGGAGGCCTGGAGACTCTCCAGAGCAAACAGCAGGGGGACTAAGCATCCTCAACTGTATCCTGCTGGGTTTCTCGGGAATCCCAAGGAGAGAAAAACTCAGAAGCCTGACTGTGTCCCTTGATGTCCCTCCTAACCAGGATCACGGCACCATCCCCATCAACACACACACAACAAACCAGCTCATATTCTCCAGATTCATATCCTGTTCTCTTGTTTTTTCCAATACGATCTGAGAAATCTGCCAAGAAATGAAAATGGAATTGAGGGCCTGATCTAGGCCCAGGGCAGTCACGGTCTCAGGTGACTGTCGGGGCTACCATGAAAGATCTCCATGAAGACCCTCTCCCCAAAGCAAGTCACTCCCCCCATCCAGTTTCCAGCCCAGTCTCACCAAGTCCCTTTGTCCCCACTCTCTTGTCTTTGAACTTGTCATAGGCGGCATTGGGATTGACAATGATGTGCTCCACACTTGTGCTCGTCAGCTCCTCCTGCAGGAACAGGGAGTTCAGGCCAGGGGCAGATTCTTTCTCACCCTAGACTTCCCTGACCCCGCAAAACCCCCAAACCACTAGAGACTGGGCCCCACATTCCCAAGAGAAGAGAAGGGCGGATCCACTCCAAGTTGCTGACCCAGGCTCAACCTAGGAAACGGAAGCTTCCTGGTAAATTTGGAGTCTCAGTTGTATAAATATTAACACCCTGACTCAAGGAACAGAGGTAGCATAACCTCCCCACCCACTCTGTACATAAGCCTCCCCCCCACCCCCCACCCCACCGACTGGGGCCCTCCCAGTTACCTGGCACACACCATGCACTCAGGCCAAGAAACTAGCCTGACCTCTTTGAACCTCCCCCTCCCAAAAGTAAATCTCCTTGTTGCTGAGGACGGACATTTCAAGCTAACCTCCCATCCTTGCTGGGAGGAAAGAGGAAGGGTGGCAGACATTCCAGCTGCTAACTCTGACGGTGAATACGCTGCTGAAGGGAAGATACCAGCTCTGAGATACAAAAGTAAGGCTGGGAGAGGACATGACGAGCAGTCCTGTGCCAAGGCTGCCATTAGGCTGGGGAGTTCAGGGTACAGAGAGAAGAGGCAAGAGATTACTATATATTTTTTAAGGGATGTCTTAGAAGCAATAAGCATAAGCACTACCTGCTTGCCAAAAGGACGCCCGGGTGAGGGCCACGCCTATATCCTGACATGGAAGTAGCCCAGCAGCTTCTCAGAGAGAAGCCTCTCGAAGAGAAGCCGCAGAACCCGCCTCTTCTCCCTGTGCCCTCTGCTCTTGTCTCAAGCACTGAAGCTCTCTCCTTAGCAGGGAGCATGGGAAAGAAAGTAATAAAGAGAGTTTACCCTAGCAGAGTGGTTCCCTCCTTACTAGATACTGACTGGCTGTTCAGATTCCAGTAACTACACCAAGACCAGGCACTTCACACTACACATCTCCCTCCCTTGTCAGCAGTCCGGCAGCTCTCACTGCCCTCCTGAAAGAGGGTGAGGGAGGCCTGGGGATCTTGTGCTATTGGGGACGACAGCTCCACCTTCTATAGAAGGCAGCAGGCAAAGTGAGTCTTCTTGCCTTTAACTAGAACAACAGTTCTCAACCCTGCCTGTGTATTTGCGCGACTTACAAAATGTAAATTAAAAATAAATTAAAATTTAAAAAAAAAAAGAGGAAAAAAGGCCTGGGTTCTCTGTAGATTTTGATTTCATTATTGTTCTGGGGTAGGGTCAGGAGAGTAGGCCAGCTGAAAATCTACCCAGCTGATTCTAACATGCAGCCAGGACTGGACAGAGAGTCTCTGCCTATGTGTGGGTATTGGGGGTGGGAGCAGGGGATGATAATGGAGAGGCATCATGAAGAGCAGCAAACAGAAGCTCCATCCTTCATCTCTGATTTGCTATTAGAGAAGGAATCAGTGTGAGTGGCAGCTTTAAAAATAGGGAAGGGAGGGAGTAAGGAGAAAACATCAACTTTGACCTTTACTTCTTCTTCAGGGAAGTGCTGAGCAGCTAAAGATTAAGGGAAAACCAAAGGGCTCAACATCCTATGTGCAAGGGTAAAGAAACAACTGAGCCCCAAATTATTCTGACTTTAATCTTCTCTGAAATGTATGGTCAGAGCACCCACAGGCCAAATAACTGTGTGGTCTCCGGCCTCTGCAAAGTGTCTGAGGACTCCCGACGAGGAGAGATGACCACCTTCTCTTAAGTTCACACTCCTCCCTGTGATTGCCCCAGTCAAGGCCAATGAGGTAGAAATCCATTAAAAAAAATCCTCTTAAAAAGACAAATGGGAAGCATAGTCTATAGACCAAGGAAGGAAATTAATCATGGCTGCCATCTATTAATACCCTCATTATGGGCCAGGCACTTTGCTGATGAGAACCTACTTTCCTAAGTAGGTAAGGGGCTGGTTAAGTAGAAAAGGGTCAATGTACAGAGTGTGGGCCTCAGAGGTCCTGGACAGTGGCAGGAATTAACAGCGCTTTCATCTCACTCTTTCCACTTTGGATCACAGCCTGGGTCAGGAGAGCTGCCCGACACTGGCATCCCCTCAGAGCCTCTCCAAGGATGTGGTCCCAGAGACTCAGATGGCCAGCACCCTTCTGTCCTCCAGTGGCACCCATTCCACCAGTGTCTCAGAGATCTGGGGGCATGGGCTGGAGGCAGTGTCACTACAGTGATTCATAAGATGGGAAAAGGCTGTCGCCTGGGGGTGGGGCTGGATAGAGGGATTAAAGATTTAGCAGAGACAAAAGGATAGAGAAACAACTGCCCATCACAGCACACCCCATTAAAAAGCAGATGAAAGGTCAGGCTTCTTACCAGCTCCTTGTGGTTTTCCCCAGAGGTGAGAAAATCAAAAGAGTTAAAAGGAAAGGGAGTGGGGAAATGGGGGTGAGGGAGGGGAAAAAAAAGACAAAATTGTTATTAGCAAATTGTCACATGCACTATATGACAGCTTCAAACACACTGCACCATAGGGCCCAGGGGAGCCTAGCAAAATTTGGGGGCCCAGAAGTTTCAGCTGGAGCCACTACATACCCCAAGAGAAAGAAGACCTTGGGACCCTTTCCTCTCTGGTGGTGAGAATGTCATGAAGCTCTGCCATTAGAAGCAATGTAAGATTATCTGAGAACTAGTGAGATGTTGCAAGCTAGTGGCATGGAACAGGAAAGTGGGGGTGGGGGCAGACAAGGCAGAATGTGAAGCAGAGGCTGTGGGGATTCTAAGGACACGTAGCTGACCGAGGGGCTTCTTAGTCCTTCTCAAGGGGGGACTTCATGGTTCAAGTCTCGCTGTCTCTTGGCTTCTCTAGTCTTGAAGAATGAGATGTCTGGATGGTGGAACCGGTCACAATGAGGGTGCCCACAAGGGTAGCGTGACAGGACTTGAGGTTAAGCAGAACAAAATATGTCAGGAGATGGTGAGTGTCAGGAAACATGAAGCACCCGTTCACTGCCAGAGGACAGGCAGGGCACATCCGGGCCCCTCAGACAGTCCAGTGTGTTTGCATCCACCTTGATTAGTTGGTAACTCCCCCCGCAGCCCCAGGGGAACCAGAGCAATTCTGCTATGATGTGTGAGCACAAAGAACCCAGAGGATACCAAGATTCACAGCTCCCAGCCCACGAGCAGAAAATGTTTCTTCCACCTTCTGCTCACAAGATTCACAGAGGTTAGAGCGTGGACAAGGGGGAAAGCTGAGAGTACTCCAAAGAGGCCTTCTTTTAGTCCAGACACAGAGACAAGGCTCTCGCTTCTAGGCAAGACGGGTAAAGAACTGCCAGGAGGGAAATCTAGCGTTACGCCCTGCCTCTCCAGGAGCTCTACTGATGGGCACACAGAATCGTGGAAGCTTAAAGATGGTTATGTATATATGACAATGCACGGTGGGACAAACACAAGTGCTTCCTGCCTCAGAGATTTCACCTAGAAACGCCTGAGCCTCCACCTCTCCGTCCCCTGTCTGATGCCAGGGCCCAGCTAAGCCAAGACTCCTGCTTCAGATCAGGGTCAAGGCAGATCCAGACCCTGTGGTTTACACTGGGAGGTCTCTGCACAGAGGGAGTATAAGCACTCACAGGTGCACACAGGCAAACACACAAGGGGAGGCACACACACACTACCTTTCTCTTATTTGCCCCACCAAGCTAAAACCAGCTTGGGAGAAACTCAAGGAGAGAGAGACAATGAGCTGTAAGTTCAAGTTCAAATCATGAGGAACAAGCAGAATGGGGGAGGATAGAAAACCAAAGAAAAGGAAAAGTGGCATATTAGTCTGTAAACCGTATACACCACCTCCAGGACTGTCCTTTGGGGGCACTGTGGGATGATGAGTTTTTAGGCATAATTCCTATAACCTGGAGTATTAACAGTCACCACGGAAACAGTCCACCCAGCCTCCTTGACTGGAAAATTCTAAGTGCCCTGATCCCAGGTACCAATTTACCTGGTACATGACTCCCAGTCCCTCTCACTAATGGACCCCCTGACTCCCCAGGGCTGTTTGGCTAAATGGCTGTGCCTCAGAGGGCAAGACCTGAGGTTCTAGATCAGACAGGGAAAGAGGCCATTGCTTCTCTGAGCCCGTTAAAGCTCCTTGCCAACACTGCAGCCAGGGGGACTTTAGAACCATGCTGACAAGGAAGTTGGAGAATGCTGTAGAAGAAAACTGTCCAGGACGGATCACCATAATGCTGACCATCCACCCATTCCGAAAGGAGGGGTACAGAAACAGAAAGACTCGTGAAAACACAAATAACCCAAGTTATTACCTTAAAATTACATGTAACACTCCTTTCCCATCCCATTTACTTTTGTCTAAAGGCTTAACACAGGGAACATTAAAATGAGTATTTCCCAGGGATAGTCTACACACAGCTAAGAAGTGATGACTGTGACTGTCCCCCTTGTTCTCTACCCTTGTCTAGAATGGCTAACAGTTACTTCTTTTCTCTTAACTTAATTTCAGTCTGAGGAGGAGAAAGCCAACCCCTTCTAACTCCAGCCCCTAAATGCCTCATATGCAAAAGCATTCCTAGCCTCCATGTTTCTATTCCAACCTCCATTGGACAGTTTTATTCTGCAGACCTCACAAGGGAAAGAGACAATGACTCATGAATCAGATTTGTACTTCCAAACCTTGATTAATGATTTTTAAACATAAGGCCAGTAGGCCCCTTAATGACCCAGCTAGGGACTCGACAGAATTCAAAATGATTAGCTACAACAACAGTACAGTGACAGAGCATTGCATGCGAGATGGCAGATGAAAAAAAAAAACATGCAGAGAAGAAGCATCGAATGGTCTTACTTGTGCAAACTAGTGTCCAGGCAAGGTGGTGAGGAGGGAGGATGGGGGAAGCATTAGGAAAAACTCAGGTAAGTTCAAGAGCGCCAACAGTCAATGAACACAATCAAGCAAACTCTATGGTATCTCAAACTGTAAGGAAGACAACGTACTGTTTCTTATCTCAAGCTGGTGGAGTGTCCAGCAGTATCTACCCTTTGGAGAACAGCCTCTGCCAGGGCCCTGTCAGACTGTGGCTAGGTCATTTTTTCCCCTTTCGCATGGCACTGGAGACCAGTAAGGCATCAAGGGAGAAACTATAGCCTGTTTCTAGTGAGATTTTCTAAATTTACTCTCCTTGCTCGAGCAGTTCAAAAGCCAGGAGCAGAATGCCTCACAGACCCAAGGCAGACTGCGGGTCCAGCAGGGAGGAAATTCCAGTCGGGAATTAGCTTTCCTGACAAGACATTTTAAGAAAAGTCTCCAAGTAAGCCCATCGTCCAAATCAACCTAGGAGTGTCTGAAATGCAGAGACGAGATTCTCTTACATTGAAGAGGAAAGGGCCAGCATGTGCTGCTGTCTGGCCCATTTACCTTAGAGTATTTTCCTTGCTGCTAAAATTGTTTTAAAGGAATAGTAGGAAAATCAGGATCATCTTTAGCAAAACTAAAACCTTTTATACTACTTTCCTCCACCATCCTCTCCACTATAGGAAATGCAATACTTTTGTGATTAAATTAAACTAGCAATGACAATCTTTAAGGGACATTATTTCCTTCAGCAGCTCAGTTTTTTCCACAGTGGAGCAATCAGAGGAAGGAGGTTAAAAGACAGTGAGGGTCAACACTCTTTGATTATTCCTTTAAATAAAAATCAGGAGATCCCCCAAAAGGTTCCTTTAGAAGATGGTCATATTGGTTGTCTTCAGGGAAGGGAGCTGGGTGGTGGCAGGCAGGGGTGGGAAGAGACTTTTGTTCTATGCACTTATATTATCTATGTAAAAACGAATCAAATTAAAGTTGAAAATAATCTGGAGACTAAGGCAAAACATTCTGTTGCCAGGAGTTAAGGTGACTGAAAACCTCACAGTTCAGCCACAATACTGGTGACATGTTGTCATCAGTGCTATGTCCTGGGAAGGGAGGGGACAGGCTGCTAGTGAGAATTCAGGCATCACAGACATGAGGTTTCTGGACTAAGTACAACCCACTTCTGTTCAAGCTGCACATTTACATCAATATTAAGAGCAGGAACAGGACCATTACTCAGCTGACTTCCCGAAGGCTGCCCTCCTAAGGCCCACAGGGACACCCAGAGGCCAGAGACATTAGCTGACATCAGTAAATATCTCAGCGCCCCCCTCCTTCCTGAAGCAGCTGAAGGTCTCCCCACCCTTCTCCCTCCCGCCTAGTGATGAAGATTCATTTAGCTGTGTCTTAGGTGATGGAGGCAACTCGACTCTTCTTGTATTTACCATCCAGCTCCTATGCACTGCTATACCGTCATCCTGAACAATATGCTGCAGGAAATGAATACTTCTGGAATCCCTCCCTATCAGCCATCCCACTAGGTATTACTGAAATAGGCTACTAAGGCACCGCAGGGAAAAACAGCCAATCAGGGCTGCACATTCAGGTGCTCCTATGCCTGTCATCTTCTTCTTAGGAAACATCCCAGGACTTTCAAAAGGAAAACTACGCATGTTATTTTTTTGTTTTGGGAGGGGGATTGCTGTGATACTGCCCATTCGTATCACAGGCAGTGACAGACAGACAACCTGCTGTTTATCATCTCACCATGAAGCTGTGACACTTTATGGGCAGAGGCCTAGGCCAGAGTTGAACAGTCTCTGAAATGGGTCAGAGGACTGAAGTCCTCAGCTTCTACACTCATGCTCTGTGAGGTCAAAGACAGCTTCCTAGTAACATACATCTTAGACTGACAAGTGCACTCCCAGGTCCTCGAGCAATGACAACATCTGCATTATCTCCAGATATTCAAGCTTGGGGGACAGCCTGACATGCCAGCAAGTACAGAAGCCACAAGGAACACACCACCGAGAGAGGAGACAGGGAAGGTGTTTCCACAGAATAGGAACCACTTCCACATGGGGGAAATCAAATAAGGAATAAGTGAGTACGCCAAGCCATACATTAGAAGCCAGCAGCCAGCATTCTCCAGGACTAACCAGCCCCACAGACATAGCCACAGGACTTGGAGACACACATACGGAGCCTGCTTCATCAATGTGACCTTAGCCCAGCTCTCTCTGGAATAGAACCTATAACACATCTTGTAAAAAATGCTAACACCTTTGTTCTCCTTGACACTTACATACAAGTTTTTACCATGCTGATTTCTATTCACTCCATTTTTTTTATTCCATGTTTCCTAAACTGTATGTATCCTAACTCCACCATTAGTCTGGGGCATCCTTAAAGGCAGGGACATTTCTTCCTCTGCATTGCACAAAAACCAACATAGAATGAACACATTCAATCAACATGCTAAGTGGTTCCCCTCATGGTTAAAATGTGTCCACAGCTAATTTCTTCCTTAGAGTTCTTCTTAGATCTGAAAGTACTAAGGGACTCACTCTCTTTTGCTGTAGGAAATATTTACATTCTTCCTCAAATTCGTCTTGCTCTGACTAGATCCCTTATCTTTCTAAAATCTCCACATCACTTCCTCACTCCTTGCTCAACGCATACTGGGTATTCAGGAAAAAGACTATTCCTCTATACTTCAAAATCTAGCTCCTGCTGGATACTGATGAACATGCATCAAGTGAAATATTTTATGAAACCGAAGGCTTACTTCCTAACCTCAAGAGGTTTATAGGTGCTCAGGCTTCAGGATTCATTACCATAGACTAGCACCCAGAGGCCTCCCTAAATCACTGGCTCCAAACGAGACTGTCTTGAGATATTTCAACTTTTATTTAAAAAGACCCAAGTCAGGTCTTGTTAGTTGTGATTCCACAGACAAGGCTCTCCTTCCTAGCATTGTTCACTGGTGGCTGTAAGCCTGCAACCTACATACCTCCCAGGCTGGGTTGGCATACCCGCTTATTGTTGTGGCTCCCCATTAAAGGGAAAGGGTCAGCCTGGGGGAGAGAGGTCAGGGTCCATAAGAGTACTGAAGCAGCACACAGTCTTACCGCATCAAACTCGGCTTGATCATCCTCAGGCAGATCGCTGGTTTCATAAACATCTGGCTCGTTCCTAGCCTGCAGACAGAAGCAGTGACCGCCCTACCTCATTACCCAGCATCTACCAATACCCCTGACCCACTCCATTTCAATAAGCTAACAGAGAAGACAGGCTGTGAGGCCAGGATTCTGTCGCTTCTCTTCTACCTGTCCAGTGAACTGTATATTAGTTCCCATGTCTTAAAGGAGTGGGAATGACAGAGGGCACAGTTGGGACCTCATGGTAAGTGGTGAGTGTAAGTGATGACAAAGATGTGACCCTGAATCTGAAGGGGTGTGGGCTCTTGGCAATCATTATGCTCGAAGTAGGAGAGCGTTATCTTCCAATTAGGCCCTATACACCGCTACCCTGGCACAAAGGTTGAGAGTGACTCAGTACAAGGTCCTGTGACCCAACCCCCACCCTTGAGAATGCAGACAGGGCAGCACAAAAGGAGGGTACAGGCCGGCATGTGTGGGGTGGGGGGTAGGTGCAGGGGGGCGGAGGCGGGTTTCCGGGGGGGGGGGGCAGAGTTCTCTGTCTGGTACTAGAAGGGTTCTGCCACGGTAACCTCTTCTTTGGCAAGGTGAAGGCCATCACCAAGTGGCCTGGTATGTGTGTTTGGGGTTGGGATGGTGGGGGGGAGGGGCCTTATGGGGAGATTCTCCAGACACGGGTGGTGCTGACATGGATGGTAGAAACACTCGGGCTTAAGAGCTAAGCGCCCAGAGACGATTTTTGGGCGGAGAAACCGGCGACTGCCGGAAAAAGGGCCTGGTAAGTCATTCCGCGGCCGGGCCAAGTCAGGTCGTAAGAATCCGGAGGATGCTGTGGCCCGTCGGGGAGCCAGAGACTAGAGCCCTGGGGCGGAGGAGGGGCTGCAGGCGGGAGGGGTCAGGGGTTAGTGTCTGTTGGGGGTCCTTAGTAGGTCGGGGGTGCGGTCCTGGGGAGCCGGGGTTGGCCCTGTACTCACAATGCCGGGAAGGTCGGCGTATTTAGGGTCCGCCATGGCGGCGGCGAGGCGGGGTTGGGGGACCGGGGCCTCGGTGGAGCCGGGGCCGGTGTTCGGGTAGGGGAGAGGCTGGCTCCGGGTCCCGGGCTTAGGCGGCGGCAAAGGGAGCGGCGGAGGAGGTGGAGGAGCAGGAAGTCTCGCGACAGGAATCGTGCAGGAGCGAGAAGGGTAAGGCAAAAATCGCGAGAACACCCCGCTACCACACCCCTGGAGAGGCCGGGATTGGCAAGAATGCTGCCGGGGAATGAGGTAAGGCGGGGGGATGCCGCCTGGGATTGTGGGATGTGTAGTCTTGGCCCACTCCGGCTTGGACGGAGAACGACAACAACGCGCCTTGGGAGTTACTTCACACAACTTATTTTCTTTCATTTTTACATCAAGTCTATGAAAAATATTTTGTAATTCCTGTTTTTCAGATGAATACGTTTGGGCTTCCAGAAATTAAGTGACTAGATAAAGATAATACAGCCTGTCGTGCTGTGGCACAGAAAGAACTTCAAAAACAATAATTGCAAGTAAAATTTAGTAAGGACTTAGTCATGTTAGGAATGAAAACGTTAAGTAATCTTCTCGAGTTAGAGCTATCAAATAAATATAGGGCACCTAGTTAAATTTGAATTTCAAAGAAACAACTAATAAGGTTTTTTATAGTATAAGTATGCCCCATATCATATGTGGGACATACTAAGACACACACACACACACACACACACACACACACACACACACACACATTATTAGCTTTTTAATCTGAAATCCAAATTTAATGGGGCATCTGTTTTTGTTTTTCAAATCTGGCACTCTTATTTCAAGCTCTTAAGTAGGTAAGTGGTGACTGTATGTCTGTTGGAACACCCTCTGTGCTCTTAACAACCGCACTAGTAGTTTTCAGACTTCTGAATTACACAGTTCAATAAAATGAAAACAACAGCAACCCTGGGGCGCCTGGGTGGCTGTTGATAAAGCCTGTGCCTTCAGCTCTGGTCTTGATCCCAGGACCCTGGGATCTAGTCCCACCTGGGGCTCCCTGCTCAGCAGGGAGTCTGCTTCTCCCTCTGTGCCTTCCTTCCCCTGCTCATGCTCTCTTCCTCACTCTCAAATAAAATCTTAAAAACAAAACAAACAAACAAACCCAGCAACACTTTTTGAGGATGGACATAGTACTGCTACCTTTAAATTTTGCCAACTAAGGGACGCCTGGGTGGCTCAGTTGGTTAAGCAGCTGCCTTTGGCTCGGGTCATGATCCCAGCGTCCTGGGATTGAGTCCCACATTGGGCTTCTTGCTCGGCAGGGAGCCTGCTTCTCCCTCTGCCTCCCTCTGCCAGTGCTCACTCTCTCTCTCTCTCTCTGACAAATAAATAAATAAAATCTTTAAAAAAAAATTTTTGCCAACTAAGTGCATTAGAAAAAGAAAGCCTACTGTTTACTATAGCCATCATTTCTTCCTAGAAAAGTAGGAAGGACATACTCTCAAGATTGAAAGACAATCTTTTGAAATTTAATAAAACTAGCTTTATGAAAAGCTTGCCGCATTGTGTGTGGATGTTTTTTGTTTGTTTTTTATTTTTTGTTTTTGAAAGGAGGGGATACCCAGTAAGATTTTTTCCCTGACCCTTCATAGGCAAGCTTTTTTCTTTTCTTTCTTTCTTTTCTTTCTTAAGACAAGCATATTTTGAAAGTCCATTAGGGCTGCCACCCTGGAGCCCCTGGGGGCCTGAATTTGGGATGTTTTCCATAATGTTTCTTGAGCTAGCAGGATGCTGCAACACTTAGAAATAGTGCCAGACCAAGTGACTGGAGAGATGCTTGTGTTCCGGAGTTTGGAACTCATTGTCATTCTATGCATACTCCCCTGGCTCCTCCCCAAAGCTCTACCCAGCTTCCTATAGAGTCTTACTGCCTTCCCAACCAGTTTCTTTTCTTTTCTTTTTTTAAGATTTTATTTATTTGACAGTCAGAGATCACAAGCAGGCAGAGAGGCAGGCAGAGAGAGAGAGGGAGGAAGCTCCTTGCTGAGCAGAGCCAAAGGCAGAGGCTTAACCCACTGAGCCACCCCTGCGCCCCTTCCCATCCAGTTTCTTATTCTGGATGAGTTTCCTTCAGTTTCCTCAAAACTCAAGGTGGGTAAGAGGTATAGGCCCAACGTGTGGAAGCCCTCATCTGAGTTCTGAGTGGTTAGTTGTCTGGTCAGGCCACCATTCTCTCACTCTTGCCTCATAGTGTCCAAGTGACCTTACACAATTGCTAGGCAGAACCTCCATCCCCTCCTCCCTTCTTCCATCATCACGCTCCTTCCCTTGGCCTAGAGCCTCAACTCCTGCAGTCCAACTCTCTATTAGCCAGCAGAGGCCTGTGACGTGGAGAAAAAAATCAATTTGGCCAGCTTCTGGGTGGTTCTGCCCAGGGTCTGCAGCAGGAGTCTGACCTGAGGGGAGAAAGGACAAAGAATCTCTAAGGCTTGGCCTTTTCTTTTCTTTTCTTTTTTCTTTTCTTTTCTTTTCTTTTCTTTTCTTTTCTTTTCTTTTCTCTTCTCTTCTCTTCTCTTCTCTTCTTTTCTTCCTTCCTTCCTTCCTTCCTTCCTTCCTTTTTTTCTTTCTTTCTTTTTTTTTTTTTTTTTGCTAGGGAAGAGGGAGAAGCAAAGTAAGCCCTGAGAGAGGGGCTGGGGTGTTGGGACTCTGTCCAAAGGTAATTTGGACAGGAAACACACATTCATAGGTGCTGAAACCTGTCTGAAACCTAAATGCAGATGTCTGCCCTACTGGTTCTCTCTCAAAGCCCCTGTGGCCTTCCCTATCCCCATCATTACTCCCCCCTTCACTGTTTTCTGACTCCCTTTCTCTTGCAAAATCTCCTGCCCACCTGCATCTGCAGCCCCAACCCATCAGGCAAAATGAGAATTTTATCTGTGTCTGAATTCTGATAGCCCAGAATCCGAGTTTGCCTTCCTTCACATTAGGGACCTGGTATGTATACTGGGGAGATAGTGCACCTTTAGACCTAAAAGGGGAAGGGAATTATAGCCTTTCCCCTGACACTGCTGGCAGCCGCCCTTGAAAGTTGAGTGGGTTGGGAATCTGTGTGAGGGGGTTGGGGATGGGGAATGAGAAGTGTGCTCTCAATTTGGAGAGGATGGTGACAGGGGCGGGGCGGGGGTGGGGGAGGAGGGTGTCCCGGAATAAAAGGGGTGGAAGCGCTGTCGGCTCTCTTCCCTACCCAGGCGACAGGCCCACCTCAGCCCCCTCACCCCTTCCAGAGGGGTGGAGTCCGAGGGAGGGGCAGGCCGTGGAGGTGGGAGGTGGGATGCAGAGAGGGACTTGGGTGGGGAAGGGGTGAGGGCGAGGTTAGCTAGGAGCGTCAGGGGTGGGGGAGGAGGCGATAGGAACGGAAAGGTGCCCCAGCGGGTGGAAGCCGAGCGGGAGGCCCCCCGCGAAGGAAGCCCCGCCCGCCCCGCGGCCGCCGCCCCGCCCAGGCCCGCAGCGCGGCGCTGCAGCGCGAGGGGCGGAGAGGCAGAGCGCCGCGAGAGGACCAGACGCCCAGGTCGCCCGCATCCCCGTGCCGCAGGAGCGAGCAAGCGCGCCCCGGCCCCGCTCTCCAGCCCTCGCCCGGGCGCCCCACCTGCTTTCTCGGCTCCAGAGACCGAGCACCTGTCCTCCGCCTCGGCCCCGGCTGAGCACCCCTCCTCCGGAGCGCACACCCGCCCCTGCAGCCCGAGAAGTGCCCAGCCCGTCGCCGGCGACCACCATGGCGGAGACCAACAACGAGTGTAGCATCAAGGTGCTCTGCCGATTTCGGCCCCTGAACCAGGCCGAGATTCTGCGGGGAGACAAGTTCATCCCCATTTTCCAAGGGGACGACAGCGTCGTTATTGGGGTGAGTGTCGCCCCGGGAGGGAATTTCGGGGAGGGATCGGAAAGATGAATCTCCCCCGCCCCCGCCGAGTCTTCGCCCCCTCCCCGCCGCTCAGCCTCCATCCTCTCTCCGCCGCAGCCCCTCCTCTCCCCTGCATCAGGATGGCTGGGTGTGGCCTGGCCAGGCGGGCGGCCAAGTCTCCGCAGAGTGGGAGGGGGCTACTTCCTCGCAGTCAGGGGACCAAACTCCCCTTTGCTGCTCGCTGCAGCGTCCCCACCCCTTAGAGCCAGTCCCGTGTTTTTCTGATGTTTTCCCTCTCCCCTAGGGAAAGCGCATCTTCCCTTTGTTATTGGCTCAGATCTCTACCCCCACCTCCCAGGATGGGCGGGGGTAGACTAGTGGATCGGCTAGATGGGAGGTGGGCAGTCCAGGGTCTCTGCGGGCGGAGGTATGAATGAGAGTGGGCTCTAAGACCAAGCCCTCCATCAACCCCTGAAGTAGTCACAGCCTAGACTTGGGCAGAGGGCACAGGTCTGATGAAGGGTTTTCTGGGAAAGAAATGCATTGATGCCACACCCAGTCTGGGAAGGGGGCTCTGGGGTCCTAAGGAAATGTCTGCCTTTCCCTCCCAGGTACAGTAGGAAGAGGCTTCAGACACCCCAGTTTCCCCTAACAAATAAAAATAAGCAAATCCTGAGGTTTTAATAGGTACTTGCTTATTCATCCTTCCTTTTGATGATCTAGTAAAAAGTATCAAGCTGCTTCTACCTCATCATGATAGCTCTACCCACAAGGAGATCTTATTAAGAAGGAGAACTAGTATTTACTGTGTGTTTATTACTGGACATGTATTATTTATCTCAAAACAACACTCTGAAGTAGGTATTAATATTTCCATTTTACAGATGAGGAAATTGAGGTCCAAAGAAGTTGAATGACTTTCTCAAGGTCACCCTGTTAATTCATGGATCTGAACCTAAATCTCTAACTCCAAAGCTCATGGCTTTTCCTTTATATCACAATGCCTCTGCAGATTTCTCTTCTCGACCATTATCTGTGATAGCCTAAAGGGAATTCTTCACCCACCCCTCCTTTTCTAGTTTGGTAGGGATTGTTAGGCTATGGGGTGAAAGGACCTGAGGTTGAGTCCTATAGGGCTTGAGGGGTGCTGGGCCAGGAAACTGTAGCCAATTTGAGAAGGGAGCAGCACATATGATGGTTGTCTTCAAGGTCAGGGGCACTGTTTATATATCTTTGGTCCATAGCGCTTGACATAAGGTAGGCTTATTAAGCGAATGGAGGAAAGATGAGGAGGGAGCATGGGCCTCTGAATCAATGAGAATTGGACTTTGAGTAAACATGCCTTAGGAAGAGCCTGCTTACATGTCCCA